GCTCGTTGGAGCAGCCCTCAAAACTGCCGCGGTGACAGGGGGAGGGTCCTGCCAGACACCCCCCAACCCGCACCCAGCCTCCCCCAGCCCAGGACACCAGGGACACAGGAGGGGACACAGAGATACTTGCATAGGTGACACGGGACCCCGAGCAGGGGGGATGCGATGGCACTGCCGGGGGGGACGTGACGGGCTCCTGGTCCCCCACTGAGGGCCCGCAGGTCCAGGCCAGGGTGGGCAAAGCCCCTCGGGGTCCATGGTGTGCCACGGGGCATGATGGGGACACAGAGGACAGGGAGGCGTGGGAGTGCATAGATGGGGTCTTGGCCTTGGTGTGCAGCTTTGGAAACCTTTGGCTGGGAGGGCAGGAGCATCTCAGAGCTCTTTGTGGACACGGTTCATGTAACGTCGGGAGGCGGCAGGCTGCCCGGGTGCTTGCTTCCCAAGATGTCTTGATGGGATAAAGGTTTTCCATGAAAGAAAACATTTCCTTTACCTCAGAGGTTCCCATAGCACAAGATGACGAGCCTGGTGGAAGAGGCACTGGGGTGGCTGGAGAGGCTGAAGCCCCAGGGCGATGCCGATGGCGGGTCGCAGGGCAGTCGCTTGCATGTGTATCCGTATTTCCACGCTTCCAGAGAAAAGCAGCTGAGCAGAGAGCCCCGAGGTGCGGCAGCGGTGACGGAGCATCCCCCCGATACCCACAGCCCCAGCGTCATGGGGGCTAGCGGAGGGGAACGAGCCCCAGGAGTCTGAGCAAAGCTGGGTGTGCCGGACGAGCTCCGGTGGCAGCGAGGAGCCGAGTCCCCCCGTATCTTCGGGCATTGCTGCTCCTCGGTTCAGCGCTTGCCCCGTTGAGCAGAGAAGGGTTCGAGTCTCCGAGGCTGGGGAGGAGAAGGGACAAGGCATCGCTTGCACAAATAGCCCTTAGAAAGAAATTTCGACGTGCTCCCGAGCCCGCGGGGAGGGACGGTGCCATCCTCCCTCTCCAGGCACCCGCGGGAAACGCCGAGTTTAACAGAGGAGGGAGCAAACCGGGGGAAAACAGCCGAGCAGGGGACAGAGCCCAAAACACCCTCCAGGCACAGGAGGGCTCTCCGCAGCCCGGTCACCGCATCCTGGCGC